CCGAGAGCCCCAGCACAGCAGGCAGGGGAGGAGGGAGCAGCCTGGGCGGCTGCCTTTGCAGGGCACAGCTCTGTAAGGAATTACTGGGGAGGGGGCTGGAAATGGGTTAGGAAAACAGCAACAACGTCAGGCCACATCAGAACCCAGGCTGTGCTGTCACAAATCTTGTCTGCTCATTAACAGCAACAATTATAAGCTGCCATAAAGTATAATTATACTACACACCGTGTTAGATTCATCAGGCAATTACAGCCATTAATAACGCACCCCAGCCTGATGAGCAGAGCGGACTTGCAGTTCGGTGTCCTTCATTTTTCAGCAGACCACTGACAAATGCCACAGTAGATCAGAGGAGCCATTTCTTGCTTACTGCACAGTATCGAGCGTGCATTACATTTGGTATCACTTGCAGTTACCACTAGCAAAGACTGCTGTCTTCTAATTAGCGTTGACTCGTGCCTTTCATCTTATCCCTACGTTTCGAGACCAGCAGCCGTGCCAGCTCGCCTTGTAAAGCCCCCGAAGCCCTTCACACCAACATTGCCAGGGATGAACGCAGGCCAGGCTGAAGACTGTCCACTTCAACCAGAGAAAAACAGACACAGACGTGGAGCCTTGCACCAATGGCCACACGTGCTGGAGCCTTCTCCAGAGCGTGCCTGCGCCTGCCCGGGAAAGGCTCCACAGGGGAAGACTTGCCTCCAGCCCTCAACAAGTCCCATTTCCACATAAGCAAACAGGCAAAGCAGCTGGCAGGTTATCTGTGCAAAGAAACGTACAGGAATACCCAACACAGTGGGACAAAGTGTGCAAATCCGCCCAGCCAAGCCTTGTAATCTGTGCTGATTTAACACAAACGTACAGGAAGGGGGTAGGAAAATGAAAAACCCCACAATAGCAACACCTTTCCCCTCTCTATCCTTGAAATTTCTTTTCAGGTGAGCCCTGAAGACCAACATGCTTTATAAGCAAAGGTGCAAAAGAGTAAGTCTAAAGGCTATTATTTTCTTTAGCTTTCTCCCTAAGCAAGATAGGGTAAATCTTCCTTGTGTCCTGCCCATGGCATGTTGAATCCAACAGGCTGCTCAAAAATCCATTCAGGAATGCAGAAAAGGGGAGGAATTCCTATTATTCCCCTTTTCAAGGGAACACTGTGGACATCAGCAGCCGCTCCTCATGCCCTCGGGCTGGCACAAACAGCAAGTCACTGATCTTGTGCAAGGATTTCCTTCCCTGAAAAGCGGCACCACTCACTGCCTATTGCAAGGGAAGAGAAATACACGCACATGTTCAGCTGGACCATGAAACAGAAGCAGCACCGGCCAGGGTGCCCGCACCCGGCCCAGAGCGCTGGGGGTGCCAAACCTGGCCTGGCCACCCACACCAAATTCACCTTAAAACATTGTTTAAAAACCCTGACAAAGCACTAGACGCTATTTCCTCCCTAAAACTGGTTTAAGTTGTGTCAACCCTGCGTAGGCAAGCGATACAGCCCGCTAATTAGCCCATCCTCTACCGGGACGAGCGCGGTGCCGGGCTGCGCCGGTCAGGGGGAGCAGAGCGGGGGCATCTCCCCGGCACGACGGCAGCGCAGAGCCGGCTCCCACTGCTGCTGTCAGAAGCGGAGGGAAATAAATTGAGAAGGAAACTTAGCTACAGCGCAAATTTACGTTTCTGTCAAAGAAGAGTGGCGGACAGCTATTTTTGGAAATTGGTCTCCATCATATTAATTCAACGTCTGGTTGAAGTTGTCTCATTTGCAGCAAATCTGGCTGGTAAATATTAACCTTGGGCTTTGTTGAAATTCTCCTTGCAGATATTACAAGGGATTGGATGGAAAAGATGAAGCAGAAAGAGACAACTTTACAGCAAATGTCAGGCAGATCCTCCGCATCACAGTTGCATTTACACAAAAGCTCTTGCAATGCACCACAAAGTAAATGGCATGAAGGGGCCACAGTTCATGCCTGGTAAAATTAAGGGTAAAAAGACATCAGCGCTGAGAAGCCTACCGAAAACAAAATAGGGCTGGACAGGTGATCATCCACAGTGCAACAGGACTTCTCCCTTGCCTGCCGTGCATCTGCTGTAAATAGGTTTTAAGATCAGAGTAAGCACAGACCAGCATCTGGCTATAGATATATATTAGACAAGAAAAGCAGTCTAAATGTATTTACAGTGACAGAACCTCAGCTCTTATTTGAGAATAGATGTTAAACAGATGCTAAAGCTGCTCGGTTCCACCCTAGAGATGGCTGCATTTCAACAATCACCAAAATGATTCATCAGAAATGTGCAAACCCATGGAAGGCTGTTGGGTACGCTGGGGCTTCTTCAGAGAAGTGGTGTGATATAGAAAGATGGACAGTAAAAAGGCTCAGCTTTCTCGCAGCATTAATTAGCAGTGCCATAAATCCTATTAGGCTTTCTAAATCTCTCCTAATTTCACTGTGAGGATACAAATGTTCCCTCAGCAGCAGGATGATTTCAGCACTTAAATCACGGTTACGGGGGTACTAGCTTTGTGATTTAGTTCAAACAGCTTCCCCGGTTCAGCGGGAAATGGAGCTCGTTCTTTCCGCAGAGGAGCCCGCAGCTCCCGCACCCACGGGCCCCAGCCCCACGCCAAGGGTGCCGGCAGCACCAAGACCCCCCGTGCCCCCCGCCCCGGCCGGGACCCTCACACAGCCCCTCTGCCCGGCGCGCGCAGCCCCGGGGGACACCGTGGCGTGCTGCGGCGCCAGAGCACGAGGGCAGAGCAGTGCCCAGCCGTGAGGTGGCACAGGGAAAACTTCTCCTTCGCTTCTGCCATCCAACCTCCTTTCGATTTAGAACCCACGAAGCTGCACCAGACGCTTGGCCCTAAGCACCAGCCCGGCCCCGGCCGGCGGGCGGGCCCCGCGGGAGCACCCACACGCAGCCACCCCAGCAGTCAGAGGGGTGAGCAGGCGACTAATGTCAGACACCAGCACGTCCCAAGCCGCAGGCACAGCCAGAAAGTCCCTGGGGAAGACTGAAGGATAAGGGAGAGGGCCAGGAGCTGCGAAGCTGCACCCAAGGCAGCCTGGAGAACCGCCAGGCACCCCTGGCAGCAGGAGGGGGGTCAGCCCCCCGGCTGCCCCTGTGCCCCAAAGCCAGACCTTCAACAAACACAGGGTCCAACCTCCCACGGCCCCAAGAGCTGCAAGAGAAACTGTGGCCAAGAAGTTTCGCTGGGAGGAGGATCGAGCGGACTCGTACCCGCTGAGCCCTCCAAAGGCGCCTCCATGGGACCCCGGCAGTGGAGCCAGATTTGCTGTGCCATCACCTGGCTGCTTTAACATCCCCCAACTCTCACCGTATCTACCTGCCTCCAGCTCAAGGGCTTTTGTCCTTGTTGAAGAATTTCCACAGCCCTGTATGCTTTTATGAGAAATCTTTTAAAGTTATTCACTTAGCACTATGCTAATGCAGGGCTCTAAAACAAACCAAAAACTCAACCCTTAAAAACTATTTTCTGATATTTGACCAGACATCAGACGCTGCTCCACAGAGAGTGACTAATGACCTGCTTTCTGTGAGAGGGGGGAAAAACTTAATTATGTCCATTAAATCACTTCAAATATTTTTCCTTAGAGAATATGAATTATTTAAACTCAACATAGAGAAATCTGAAACATTAGCAAAAGCCTTCTGGGACTTGCTATGTAAATTCCCACTCCAAACAGATGGGGAAAGCATGGCAAGCTGCCATGCAGCCACTGAAGCAATGAACAGCAGTGAGATTTCAATTCGATAGTTTTAATAAGGTCTTCTTAAGGAGAGCACCAAGTGAATAGCCACTACCCAGAGCACCAGGAAAGGCTTCCCACCTCCTGGAGGAAGGCGGCACAGGTGGCACAATTCAAATCTGAAAAGCCTCAGGTAGGTCCTGAAGGGCAGACCTGATCCTCAGGGGAAGCTCACTCTCCTACTGTATCATACACCTCAAACACGGGGGAACTGTTTGAGACTTTGTCTATTTTCTTCTCAATCTATTTTCTACCAGGTGAAAAGGGAGAGCTCCACGGGATCACCTGGACACCAGGCACAGCAGCAAACAGTCTTTCCAGGCACACCTTACTGAAGAAAGCATCTCCTCTCACACGTCCCCGCTGGCGGCCTGACCTCTCCCTGCCCCGGAGGAGCTCTGCTAACAGGGCAGCCGCGCATGCTGCCCGTTAATTACGCTGCCCGTTAACGACGGGCAGCCAGTTACACCTTTCAAAGAGCCGCTGGTGCTGACGGTCAGAGCGGTGGCCGCTCCCGGGGCAGGAGGTGCACCCCTGCACCGCACGCAGAGCAGCCCCGCTCGCCCCGCACCGCTGCCGAGGCTCCCGAGGCCACGCTGAGCTGGGACGAGGTCCTGAGCGGGACGGTGCCCGGGGGGAGGCATCGCCTGGCACCTCTCTCCTTCCAGCTCGCACTCTGCGAGAGGAGGAGTGTGGCAGCCGGGATCCCGCACTCAGCGCTGAGCCCGCGCCCGGCTCTCGCCTGCCTTTGAACGCGAGATAGAGCAGTGACAGCACCAGGGTCATTAGAGGGACACCCGTTAAGGTAGAGGTTATACCCACTTTTACAGCAGTCATTAAACACAACCTTGCAAGCTGTAAAGTCACCGAATTAAGTTGTGTCTAAAGCATGACAATGGGGATATTAATGTTCTAGAGTAATTTTATAGTTACAGATAAAGCTGTGGAAAATGCCTGGTGGTATTCACAGCTTTGGCACTTGTGCCCAGCCAACACTGTGCTGCAGAGCAGCTACCAGCAATGCGCCCCATTTACCCAATTGCCACCCTTCAAATTAAGGTCTGGCTGTTAGCTGGGGAGCTGCTATCAACTACAAGAATCATATTGCTGACAAAAGGCAATTCCAGTTGTCTGAGCTGTGCTCAGGTACCGGGCAGACTGGAGCAGTCTGGCAGCAACACAGACTGACACCAACAAAAACTGCTAGAGGATATCAACTGCCACTTTTACCTCTGCATCCCCCGTCCTTCTCCTCGAAGCCGGGACCACACGTGCACTTCCCAATGGGGACCAGCCACTCGCCCTCCGCGCTGCAGTGCATCCGGGGGGGATTATCCACGTCCACTTCAGCGTGAGCGACACAAGTGCCCTTAACTTCCACCAAAGTCGCGAAGGCTGTCTCTGCCACCGTGTCCGGAAACACGGCCAGGTTCTGCACGGTGGCCAGGCACTTCTTGTAATAGACCCTCACAGAGACCAGCGCCACACAGGCACCCACGTCCTGGAAGCCCAGGTGGAAGCCTCTCTTGCTCAGGTGCCCGATCTCCCTCAGCTCAGTGTTCAGCTTCATCTTACGCTCACCCAGGTCCCCCTGTGTGAAGCTCTCGTCAGCAGCAATGGTGTCGATCTTGGTGTGCTTGCTCTCACGGACACTACGGCCCAGGTCAGTGTCAGACTCGACGTAGTACAGATTGAAAGTCTCCTTGCAGGTGCCTGTCACACCAGGGATGCTGTTGCAGTCCCGCAGGGTGAATTTCAGCTCAATGAAGATCCGCTGGCCGTCGCGCCTGGCAATCCAGCCCGTCTGCAGCCAGTTGTTCTGGTTTGGCTCCATGACGTTGCAGACCTGGTACGTGCGTATTGGCTTGTAATCCTCATCCACGCCGCTGATTTCTTCCCACTGGGGAAAGAACACAACGGGCTGTAACAGCTCAGGAGCTGCCATGAGCAAGAGCCAGCCGCCCTGGCAGAAACACACCCATCAGTATAAACATCACCACCACAAGCCTCTCCACCTACCATATATATCATAGGCACTAAAAGTCCTTAGCCCACCACAACCACAAGCCGTGGTAACACAGCCGTGCTGCTGGACCACCTAACACCTGAGCTCTTTGCAGAGGTGCAAGCACAGAGACACAACGTGAGAGCACTGGCATCAGATCTTCTAAAACAAAGACCAATATGAATCTGGACACATCATCTGCTGAGAAGCCAGAGCCCTTATCTCCAACACATGCCTTGAATTTTCTGTCCCTGGGAAGGTGTATCTGCACAGCATTATCCCACAGCGCAATGCCAGATGGGGCTGGGCTACCCAGAGAAGTCGAAGATGGCCAAGGAGCTGCAACACCAGTCACAACATCACACAAGGGCAAACATCTTTGTGAAGAGCAGCAGCAGCTTCTCTGTCAGGAGTTTTTTAGCTGGAACAGGACAAATCCTCCAACTACAAGTGGAACAGTATTTCCCCAAAGTTACCAGCAGAGATTCCGATTACTGAAATGATGATTCAACCCTCACAGCCTTAAGGATGACCTGGCAACTTCCCAAAGCAATTCTTTCTGGGGGTAAATTTACGCAAGATTGCCAAATGTACCCAAAACAGAGTTTCTTCTGCAGACTAACAGCTGGGCAATGCAGATGACTCCGGGATCTATCACTATTCCTTCTGAACGCTTTATTTCCATTCTGGAAAATAAACCCAAAGCATCAAGGAACACAACTCTTGAGATGCAGAGCTCCTGGCGACCCCACCCCAGCCCTCCTCCAAGAGCTGACTTGGCCCTCAGGAGCTCGCACTGGCATGCAAGCTGCAATACAAAGCCTTACCTGGCTGGGGTCTATTTGCTATCACAGAAGTGTAAAATTCGCTTTGAGGGGCTGTTCCACGTTGGTTGTGCCGCTCACATAACCAACGCCTCCCTTCTCGCTCTGCTCCCCAGGCTGCCCAGCGCTGGTCAACGCCACAGCTCGTGCCACCCAGCTGCCCACACACCCTCGGCCGGAGGGGACCCCGTGGCTGCCAGCCCCCGCCACCAGCCCCACGTGCGGAGTTCAAACGCTGCTGAGCGCCAAACGGCAGAGCAGAGGGACAGTCCCGCCGCTGCACTTACCCCATTCGATGGGTGCGAGGTCCAGCCCAGCTCTGCTTGCGATTCCTTCGAGTCCAGCAGGACAACTGCAGGGAAGACAACGCGTGAGAAAGCAAACTCGCGAACGCAGGCAATGCCGGCAGATCCCCCGGCCGGCCCGCTGGGGAGCTCAGCGCCGCGCATCCCTCCCCGCACGCCTGCCTGAGCGGCCGGTCGGGTCCCAGGGCGCCGCGAGCAGCTCCTGCCCCAGCTCCACCAGCCACCGCGCAGGGCTCAAGCTGCTGAGCTCCAGGCTGCGCACCCCCACGGCTGTGCCACGAGCACCCCAACCTAACGAGGCTGCTCCCCCCGGGAAGGCTGCGGGCCTTCCCAAGGGACTCTGCCGGACCAGCCCTCGACACCACCAGCCGGTGCCGCGGCTGCACCACGCCCGTAGCATCCGCATCGCCTGGAACTGAAAGGTACCCGGGCAGCTTCGAAACAGGGATTTCCTTGAAAGACAGCGTGCCATCCTTCTTCAGCTCATTCATTCTCCGTTTGGCAGGAGGAGACGTTTCCCCCAGATTCACAGTTTAGCCACCCTTCCGACAGAAGCTCTCCCCGGCTGGTAAGTTGTGTCTCGCCCCCAGCTTCGAGACACGGGACAACCCGTGGGAGCGCCCGTGGCACAGGCGAGCGCTCCGGGACGCGCTTCCCGGCGGCGCGGCGCGGCCGGGCTGTCCGCGGCACCGCAGCCCCTGCGCCCACAGACCTTCGGGGCTCGATCCATCTCCCCGCGTCGCGGCCCTCCCGCACCCGCAGCGGGGCTCAGCGCTGCCCCCCCAGAACCGCTGCAGCCGCCCGGTACCGGCAGCGCTGCGCGGGCAGCGGCCGCCGCCGGAGCTCGTCCCTCCCAGCGCCCCTGGAGATCGTGGGGACCGGGACGGCCGAGCCCCCGAGCCCCGGGACCCCCCGTCCCACTCCTCCCGCGGGTCCCCGCTCCCCTGAGACCGACGGCACACCCGCCCCACGGAGCCGCCGCCGCGCCCCGGCCACCCCGGGGGGAGGAAGGGGAAGCGCACCCGGCCCCGCCACCGAGCCGCGCCGGGCACCGCAACGCGCCGCGGAGCGGAGCGACCGTGGCCGGAGCCGGTGCGGCGGCACCGAGCGCCGAGGCCGCCGGGCACGGGGGGCGGGCGCGGCGCGGCGCGGCCGGTGGTGCCGGAGCACCGGGGACACGGCTCGGCCAGGAGTGCCGGCGCAGCGGGAGCCGCGCCCGCGCCGCTCCGCCCGGTGTCGGTCCCGGTGTCGGTCCCGGTGTCGGTCCCGGCTCACCCTGCTCGGCGGCGGCGCGGGGCAGCACCGGCAGGAGCACCGACACCAGCGGCAGCAGCACCGGCAGCAGCAGCAGCGCCCCGGGGAAGCCGCCGCCGCCGCGCGCCGTCGCCATGGCGCTACCGACTCCGCGCGCCCCGCGCCGCCGCCGCGCTCCGGCCGCCGCGCCCCGCCCCCGGCCCGCGCAGCCAATCCGCAGCGGCTGCCGGGGCGCTCGGCGAGAAGGGGCGGGGCGAAGGCGGGCACCGCGGCGCCGTTCACTCTGAAGCCTACTGATGGCAGCTGTGGGCTGGTCCCCGAGCAGCTGCGAGCCGTGGGGCACCTGCGGGAAGGGGCCGAGCGCAGCGGGGCTGAGCTTTGGGCCGCCTGGTGCCCCTGCTGAGGGTAGGGACTGCTGTCCCCAGGGGAGCCAAAGCACTGCCAGGTACCGCCAGCCCCTGCCAATGCTGAGACGCCACAGCCTTGTGGTCACAGCCATAGTTAGCAGTGCTGTGCCCCCCCCCCCAGCAGATGATATTTGCTCCCTGCTGCCACTAACGGGCTGTCAGAGGCAAGTCAGAGCCTTATTTCTGCACTGCAGGGCCCAGGAGAGCAGCGGGGCAGGTTCCCAACTGCCCTTGACTGCCAACAATGCCGGTTTTGTGTCAGTCCCTCAGTTCTGCCTTTCAGGGCTGAAATTTGATTCCCAGCTTCGTCTCAGGGTCTTGCAGCCACTGTAGAAGTCAGAGTGGCCAGAAAGGAACCCCAGGAGAAGGGAGCCCAGGCCGGGCAGGTCCTGGCTGCCCTGAACCCAGGGCAGCACTGCGGCAGCAGCAATGGCACGGGGAGGCTGCGGGGAGGCTGCCCGGGCTGGGGGAGGCAGCTCCCGGCTCGCTGCGGGCGAGGTGTGTGCTGCTGGGCCCACAGCCTCCTGCACCGGGGGAGGAAATCAGCAAGGTTTGATTATTGCTAATTGTAGGTGTTGCAGGTCCCTGCAAAATTTAGTCAGGCTGAACGCCCATCAGTTTCCCACCTGATGGCTGATACCGTGACGCCAAAGCTTGCTTATGTAGCAACACTTGTTCCTGTGGGATGTTCCCTCCGGTGTGATTATGTGCTGTCAAATGTAAAACATTGCAAGTCTGGAATAAAAATACTGAGTCTCCATCTGACACAGCCTGGCTGGGCTATGGCACCCCATGCACGGCCCCTGTTTGCAGTGGTGGGTGCTCAGAGCGCACCCCACACCCCGCAGAGGGGCACCCTCAGCCCTTGCCGTCGCTGCTGGATCCCCGCTGCCACAGATGCCCCCCCGGTGCAGGATGCTGGCTCGTCAGGCATGAGGAGCACCCAGAGTTGTGTCCAGACACGGAGAGCTGAGGGCTGAATGGTGCTGGCAGCTAAACCAAAACCCCCGTGAGAAATGAGCGGGGCAGGGAGGGCTGCTGGGCGGCAGCAGCCCGGCGAACGTGCCCATGCGAAAGCTGGCGGAGGGCACGGCGCTGCAGCATCGTGTGTCTGCACAAACACGCTGCACATAAGCATCGGAGAGCGTTAGGCACTAGAACCTGGACGGCAGTGCCTCACACTTGCAGAAGTTTGCTGGAGCAGGTATCCTGCTGAAGCCTGCTGCCAGACTCAGATTTGCACATTGCATAATGAGAATAATTAGACATGGTAATTGCAGTTCATTTGCCTCATGCCTCAGCTTCTAAGTTCTCTCTTCCTGAAGTCAGTAAGACCACCCATGTGAACACATTTCACCATATCTGAAAGTACCTGCAGGATCAGGACTCCTGAGCAACCCAGGTACCAGCTCAAAACTCCAAGCACAATGTTTCTTTAACCTGTTCCACAGGCATCTTGCCTTTCCAAGCTTTTTTTTTAACACCTAAGGCATGTTTGCTTTTGAGAGGTTTGGAAGGCACTGCATCTGAGTGTAGATCTGTTGGAAAGCTCGGGCTCTTGGCCAGCTCAGAGGAAGATGCTGCTGCTGTGACCATTCCACAGAAATGGAGGGAACATTTTTCAAGCATGATGAGTATTCACAATTGGATTTGACAATATATACCTCTCATATTTCTACTTGCTCTCCATGTCTTCCAGCGCTCCCACCCCAGGGCACCAGCCCCCCATATTCCAGCTCAGCCCCAAAAACTGCTGTTCAGCTGCCACATTTGCTGTAACCTGGCAGATCCGGGGAGACCCATAAGGGGACGCAGACAGCCCCACCGCACGCCTGAAGCTGCGGGGTTTCCAGCTCCCCCTCTATTTCCCAGTCCCTCTTGAAACACGGCCACTACCTTTTCTCTGTGTTAACTTGACCAGCCAGAAAATCCCTGTCCATTTATCAATGCTCTTTGTGGCTGGGAGAGCTCAGCCTGGCCGGTGCTTTGCTGCGGTGCTGCCGCAGCGCACCAGCGCTTCCAGCCTGGCCAGCGCGCCCGGGCGAGCCCGGCGTACAGTCCTGGTGACCGGGACCACAAGTTCATGTGATTAAAACTCTCCCTCCATCACATTACAGGGCAGGGAAGCAAAAGACAGGGTGTATTTATAATCTTCCTCCAGTGGAAACCAGAAGAAGTGACCCATTATTACTGGAGATCTTTCAAGCCACCGAGGAAGAAAAGTGATATTTAGTTGTTGTTAAAGGCTCATAACTACATAACAATTTCATGCTATGTTAACTTCTAGGTTTTCTTTCGCATATAAATTTTTAAGGAGTAAAATAGAAAAACCCAGGCACTTGACCTTTAATCACAGTTATTTGTGTGATCAGTCAAGTGTGGGAAAAAGCTAGTTTGTGCTTGAAAGATGCCCTTTAAAACTAGATTGCTCTAATATGACACACAGCTCACATGGTGTAATATATGGGATCTCACTTACCAGTCTCTGGGGCACAACAGGCTCCCATTTAGTATTCATACACGGGAGCTTGCTGCTGGTACGTTGGAAGGTATTAATGTTGTGAAGCAAAGCGATACAAACCCCTGGGATAGCTCCATTCACCACCGAGCCCCGCGGGAGGTATACGCATTCATGTCACTGAAGAACCAAACAGGGAAGAGTATTTTCAATGTATATTGAGGATTTGATGTTAAGAGATGTGTTTCATTAGAAGAAGGCTATGTCATGCTAATAGAGTACAAAGCTTTTCCATTTATCTGAAATATTATTTCAAGCACTTATAAAAGCTTAATATGAGAACAGCCAGAGGTATTTTAATTACGATTTTGAAGTATCATGTTGTTTTGGGGAAACGATCTCATAAATTTTTCTTTGGCAAGACTGGAAGACTGAAAGCCATTGCTGGGGTGAAGGAAGCAGAGCAGCCTTTTAATTTGAGGCTATTGGATTTATTCCTACCAGGTACAGGTGATGGCCAGGGCAGGGCCGCTGAGCCCGGAGACGGGCTGCGGTGCAGCCAGGGCGGTGCCGGGGCCCCGGCCCCACAGCACACCGGCCCTCATCTCCTGGAGCAGCGGGGCCAGGGGCCAGCCTCCCTAAGCGGAGGAGGAGGAACACACCCGGGTTGTCCGGTCACCTCTGTCACTCACGGCCAGCGCTCAGTCCCCCGCCCGACTCCCCAGGGCCACCAAACCACGGGATGAGCCTGCAGAGACAGCAGTGGGAAAGCAAAGACGGCTGGTTGTCCAGGCTCCAGATTGCCGGGGGAACTTCTGCAAAGAGCTGGGCCCAGCACGGCCCAGGAAATGTGTAATTCGCCGAGCTGAGCTATTACCTGCTGTAAGTGGAGACAGAAGGATAGTTTTGAAACCACAGTGAAAATAACCCTCCTGGAAAAAAAAAAAAAATCAATACAAACACCAAGGAAAGAGGATCAGAATCTGAGACCATCAATTCCTGAGATAAAGAGTTGAAAGTCTCAGTGGGAGGACAGCCAGATCTGGACTGAAAAACAAAACTTTGTTTCTTTTGCTGACAAGTGACTTTTTATGCGAAAGGACAAAGGAGCCAGGAGGATGCGGGCCTTGGTATGTGGCTGTGAGAGCTGCCCTTGAAGAAAGAAGGAGCAGGCAGAAACCTCACGGAAGCTCTTCCACCTCTCCTTCTTCTTCCACACTTTAAAGGATTTTCATACAACGGAAAACCAGGGATTTGTGCCATTTCATGCTGTTTTGGGCATGTCACAAAAACATGCGCCCGGATGAGTTTTGCTTCTTCTGCTGTGACGAGGCCGGAGTCAGAGCCGAGCAGGCAGCAGCACCACAGCACAGATGTACGTGGCATTAAGTAAATTCTGCCCCAGCAGAGCGGTGCAGTTGGAGCTGCCCGCAGGACCCGCACCCAGCACCTTCAGCACCTCGCCAAGCTGCCGCGCCGGCCGGTCCCGGGGCCCAGGCAAGGGCCTGCGCCACCTCCTCGCTGCTAACCGGTAGAAATTGCAGCGAAAAGAAAAGCTAATGTAAAGCTTCCCCATAAACCTCATGACCAAAGCTGCACAGCCCTGTATCATGGGCTGCAAAAGGAAAAGACTCTGTGTATTAATGCCTTTTGCCGTCTATGTTGTTTGTCTGAAAATACAAGCAAGCAGAGCTACGCATTTGTTTTCAACGGCTTAATTTTTCTGTCAGATGTGTCCTCTTTGCTTCAGGATCTCTGTACTATAAATGTTTTGCAGCAGCTCTTTAGCTTTTAAGGTAATCACATAAAAGATCCTTGACTACATAAAGGCAGCTAATCTGAGTAAATCCCTTTAAGCATCTTTACATTTCTTGCTAATAGATTTCTAGGCAGCCCACAGAGATCCATGTTCTAGAAAATAATGTAAAATATAGTGTCTAAATTTTTTAAATGCCTCACATTCATCATATGCTGAGAAAACCCAGAGCTCCAGGCAGCATAAGATCATGGCACTTATATAAGTAATATTCCGTTCTGTCATCATCAGTATGAAACCCAGCCTTTCACTGGGGGCAAGGATCCATTCAGCGTTAAATTCCAACTCAACCGGAGACAAATTATCACGCTATTAATTAGAGCCAGACAGGAGGGATCGAGGCGCTGCAATCTGGTGACAGCATCTGAAGGGCAAGCCGAGGCACTCACCGAGCTCGGGAGCTGCGCGGGGAGCGCATCACCCTCTGCCCACCTCACCCCGCGCCCCGGAGCCGGGGGGGGGGGGCTCGCAGGGGGCGATGCCAGGCCGAGCTCTCCGCTGCGCAGAGCCCAGCAGCGGGCAAAGGCGAGAGGTGAGCGCCAACTGCTGTGCAGAAGCAGGTCCCCCCCAGCGCCCCGAGCCCCTCCTGCCCCTCGGCCCCAGGCCCTTCCCACCCCTCCGCCTGCTCCCTCTGCCACAGCCGGGCAGCGGTGCTGTGTCCCCGCACCCCGCCGCGCAGCAGCCTCGTCCCCTGCTTCCTACCCGGGGGGGGCTCAGTGCTCATCGCCCGCAGCCCGGAACCCCACACGCGCCCGACACGGGCGAGTTACTGTCAGCACGTAAAGAGTGCCTGGGCGAAATGCTCGTGTGCTTTGTCTTGCTGTCACTTTGCACCTGCGTGCAACAGCTCCCCTTGTGCTGCTCCGTCCCCTGCCCCGCAGCAGCGGGCAGCACTGCCCTCACCCCGCCGGCCGCCTGACCCGCTGCCGTCCTGTCCGCGCGCGCTGGGCACGGGCCTGTCCGTCTGTCTCCGTCCCTGGTCGCACCAGTGGCCTTGGCCGGGGCGGCGAGCGCCGCAGCAGCGGCTGGGAATGCCGTGCGGAGCGGCCGTTCCTCGGGAAGTTCGTCCTCTCGCTGCTTACGCACGGCTGGAAGCCACACGCCTGTCCCAGGTGCCCCAGCCCGGCGTGAACCCTCGTGCCGCCTTCAGCTCCGGGCACAACACTCCTGTAAGGGAAAACCCGCCTATTTTAAGAGCCATCTGATGTAATTATCTCTGTGCAGGAGGATACACGAGTGCAGACGGGCCACTAAATTCTGCAGATTTATTGCCTGCATTAATTAGCCTCTCTCTGCCATTCCCAAGGGATTCGGACCCACAGCCATTCAGCTCTGTGTCAGTGGCACCTGGGGACAGGGGTGCGTGGCAGAGCTGGAATCTGTGATGAGAGCACGAGGCCAGCGAAGCCGGCGGCTGCTGGGGGAAGGCAAGCCCAGCACCCTCGGGCTCCCCTTCAGCAGCATCCGGGGGGCAGCACCCAGGGGTCTGCCCAGGCTCCCCTGGCCCCTCCTGCCCCTCCACAGCCGTAAGCGGGTTTGGGATGTGGCTGGGCAGAAACCCACCCACGGCAGGGGGCTGGCTGGGCAAATGCCCCAGATAGGCAATTAGTATCAGAAAGGATATTCCCAAGGATTGCAAATAAACAAAGGGAATCAATTATCTGATAGGAGGTTTTCGCCAGTCACACAACGGCACACAAATTGCTGAGGCCCGAGAGCTGAGGGAGTAACAAAGCCAGACAAACCCGATCCCGTCCCAGGCCGCAGCGGCACTCAGAGCCTCGCGCGGGGCCGACACCGGGCTGCAACATGCAGAGGAGAAAGAATTACATTTCAGTTTTTCCAGGAGAAAACAACGGTTTGCATTTTCTCCGCTCCATCCCAGCACAGGGATTTTGCTCCTCCCTGAGTAAACTGGTGCTTCTGGCTGCGCTCCCGAGGGCCACTCCAGCCCGCGCACAGGGAAGGCGGCGCCTTCGCACAGAGACCCGGCACACGGGAAAACGGCAGCAAACAGGCTCCATCGCGTCGCACGGAGCTGGGGGGCTGCCGGTCGCCAGGAGCGGGGCAGGGGGGGATCCTCTCGTCGCCAGCCCACGGCCAGACCCTGCCCTCCCCCAGGCACCGCACTGCTGCTCCCCAAATGCCCCCAGCATGGGGCACCGGGGCACCGGCACGTGCACGGGGAGATGCGGCAGTGAACACTGACCAGCCACCGACCATGGCCCCGCCACCCCCCTGGGTGGCACTGATCAAGAGGAAACCATTTGGTGCTAATAGAAATGTAATTTAGAGCTCCAGAGGAATCCAGCTGTTACATGGTGCTAATTAATGCCCGATTACTGAATTTGGGACTGTGTCCTGCCCCGCCCATTCGGTCCCTCCTGAGCAGCAGGAGCAGGAACAGGGGTCTCCTGCGCTCCCCCAGGCAGCGGGCACAGGCGCGGGGGCGCTGCCATCCCAGCCCTGGCCCGGAGCCCCCCGGAGTCTCTCTGCCCGGCCGGCCTCCGCCCCGGCCCCTCCGCCGCCGGCAGCGAGCGCAGACCCTCGCGATGGAGGCGAGCACAGCACCCTCATAACTGCGCGGGGGGGGCCTGACCGGAGAGGCGCCCCGGCTCCTCCGGGGAGCTCAGTCCTGCCCTGCAGACGCTTTGCCGGTGGTGTCGAATACGGGGCAGGACACCGGCACCCGGGTCTTTGCACAAACCAGCTTCTTCACACTCAAACAGCCCTTTTGTTTCTTCTTCTCTTCCTCTGGTGGAAAGACAGAATTGCGGACTGAGAGCTCAGGTGTCTGAGCCTCTGAGAGCCAAGGTCTGTGATAGAAACTATGATATACCACAAGTATAATGGTGCAAACAACCATTATCATAATTTTGATACCAATTATGTGTAATTTGAACAAAGGAGTTGTCCTAGCTTTGATTTGCTCCCCTTGTATTCCTGGCTGGTTTCATTAAAATCACTTACAGAGATTTGCACCAGTTCTGTCTGAAGTGCTGTCATTAGGATTTCCATTTTCAGTGGCGTCAGGAATAATTTCACAGCAGGCCATTTATGTTTTACAGAGGGATCTGCAGCGTGTGGCCATCACTCGTGGTCAGACACGTTTCGGACAGCCGTACGGCCGTGCGAGGCGAGGCTCCGGCCGGGGCTGGACGCTCCCGAGCGGCTCCGGCGGAGGCTGCCGCCCACCCCCGCGCCGAGCTCTCCCCAGCCCGGGCTCTCCCCAGCCCTCCACCGACGGCTGCAAGCAGTGCTGCGCTGAATTTGCAACCCAAATCTTTGTAAATTTGAAGACTAAAAAGTGCCAGGCTGGTTGGCGCTGCTCCCGAGGGGACCCACAGCTCTGTGTGTGCACCCCCACGCACCCCCGAGGGGGGACCCCGAAGTGCCAGCACATCTCGGGTGTGGATTTCCCTGTGTCACAGTGTTTGCCCTATTTGTTAAGAGCTCTTTTACATTTAAGTCTTTGTGCTGATCACCGATTAAAATCAATTACCGAGATTTCTAACTTCATTGGCCCTCAAGAAAGTGGCAGTAAACGTCCCTTAACCACAAGGGCACTGAAGTCACGGCACTGAGCCACAGCGGCCTCCCTTGGGGTGATCGCTGCCCTGGCTCCTAGTCATTAGGCAATCAAAGCTGCAAGCTGCACGACACACTGATGAAGAAAGACACCTCGCGACCCGCTCCGTAACTCAATCACCGCAAGGCACTCACCAATTCTCCCTCAGTCACGGGGTGAGGGTGGCGGGGAGGTCATGCAGAGCGAGTCTTCTTCATTTGTCCGTGTTAAAAGAGGGTAATATACTTTGCAAATGATAATTAGCAATTTAGTCCAGCTGGGGCTAATTCCTAGATGCATTTTGCACTCCAGGACTGGCCACTTGGGCAGACTCTAAATAAGGCACCAGCACGGCGTGTCCAGCTCCATTAAAGCTGTCTGGTAATTAGAGTGCCCAGCACACAGAGCGGGGCGGCTTCCTGCACCCACGGGTGCCTCTGCTCCACCTGCCGCCGTGCTGGGCTGGATGTGGCCCTGGGGAGGGACCACCGGGCGCTGGGCACGCTGCCCCCAGGCCACCCACCGCGGGGTCCTGCCAGCTCCATCCAACCCTCCCCGGCCCCACGCTCAGCCCTGGCTCAGCGCCGGCTGCCGTGGAGGGGGCGTCGGGGGAAGAGGCCAGCAGCTCAGGGAAGCAATAAATTCGGTTTCATTATAACAGTGCACTCGCATCCCAGGGCGAGGTTGTCATGTAGGTTCACAAAAATACTGCTTAAATAAACAGAAAGGGAGGAAATGCTGGAGAGAGCGTCCAATCTGCATTATAATTAGGGGAAAGAATAACAAATGGCAGAAACAACCTGTTCCCATCTGCAGCTGCAGTTTGTTCCTACTGTATCTGAAAGGCCATGCACCATCCGTACCAGGAGCTTTCTCTGGAAATGTATGAATGTTTCATTCAGCGAGAGTGGAAAAAGAGCATCTTTTTGCATGTATTGCAGATTCTACTGTAATGAAGCATCAGAGAGAATTTTATCAACCTAGACACTTACTGCTGTCTCCAGTCTGGTAGCAAAAGTAGGGGACTGCACCCCCGAAAGGGTTTCTACAAAGAGAGCCAACATGGGGACAGCAGTCAGGCTGCGGGGCCAGGGTCACCCTGGTGTGGGGCCAGGTCTCTGCCCCGCTCAGCGGGTCAGGGTCACCAGAGTCCCAGCTGGTCACCCAGTCAGAGCGTGCAGTGCTCAGTGGATGCATTTGGAGACATTATTCCATCCCAGACTGACTAATTTATCCATAAACTTTTCCTAATGGGGCCGATAGTGTAGGAATGGAGAGAAAGCAGCATTATTATCTGTAAACAGTGGCGGCTGACAGCATGTTTAATCACAGGCTGCGTAATGGTAACATCGGTGGAGGACAAGATTAGACACTTCTCTAATTAGTCATACACCAAAGGCACGAGCACGGAGCCTGGGGGTCACTTAACCCACCAAGGAGAGGAGCAGAGATCAAAGCCCGAGGGCAGAGCCAGAGCCCGGCAGCCCCAAAGCACAGCGTGCCCCGAGCAGCCGGCCAGCTCTGCCAGCTGCCAGCTCCTAACAGGATTTTGCAATCTGTGGTGAATGTGCTAATGGGATAGAGAGGTAAAGAGTTCATCCTACTCACTTTTCTCTGCTTCTTTTCTTTTTTTTCTGAGCATATCTCTCTCTCTTGGTTTTCTCTGGCTCACCTCTCTCTGCCTGAGTGCTTCTAAAGTCTACAGATTAAAAGCATTAATAAGAGCCAGAAATTATTATGTGAATCCTATTTATCACAAAACAAATGGTATCTAGCAGGCTGCAGCCCTGGGAACCACGGCCATTGGTTTACAAGAAATGCTGTCAAGGCTGTGGGGTTCCTCCTTGCCCAGCCGCGAAGCCTGGGGGACGCGGATGCAGCGAGCAGGCAGCTTGCAGGACTGAGGGGAGTGCACAGCAGAAGCAGGTACAAGAGTCCCTGCCAGTGAACCCCAGCAAGAGAGAGCAGTGTTGGCACAAGAAGAAAGTTGGTGGAGGCTGGCAGACTCTGCACAGGCTGCAGGGACATGCCAGGCACCACGAAGCAGCAGGATACGGCCCCAGCCCCAGGATAACTGGGGCTGCAGCATTCCTGCTGCCAAGTCTGCTTCCATGGCAGACAAGACTTTAGCACACGCCTTCTCTTCCTGATCCCAATACCTTGGGTTAAACCAGTAGCTCCTCTGTGGTGAAATCCAGGTGTTTTGATTTATCTGTGAGAGATCTCATTATCAGCTGCAGCAACAGAGACTCTGACCTTTCATGTCAGGGCCCCTTTGAATTTACTTTCTGCCCCGAGGTACAAAAGAAACCATGAGAAATCAATTTTCTTTCCTCCAAGACCCCCTAGTTCTCAAGAACTTTTAAAGGGCAGAGAAACCATAACTGCAACATCTTCTACCTTTAAAAAGGTCCTTCATCATGCTAGATTTTGATTAATCAGGCTGCTACTCTCCCGTCACTTCCACCGTGGAGAGCGCTGGAGACCTCCCCGCAGCCCCTCTCTGATAAGGAAGAGGGAGAGGAAGGTCTCCGCGGCCAGGGGAGCAGCGGCTGCCTGCGGGGAAGGCTCCAGCCCCACTGCCAGCCGCCCTCCTGGT